CACGCAACCTAACATAAATTTCCTTCTGATTCAACTCAATCCTACACAAATTCCTTAGTTTATTCTGCACATCCCCAACAGATTTATTATTGGAAGATTTGGTTGTTTTAGTAGATAAAAGTTCACGCAATTTCCTAAAAAGACTGTAACATAGATACACAAGACATATTCTGTACAGATTATCTTATTTGTATATAAATGCATTTATCGATTTTGAATTGCATGTATGTTTTGTCTTGTTTACATTGAATTTGTTTATTTGTTTGTGGATGCAGAAAAGTTCACGCAACCTAACATAAATTTCCTTCTGATTCAACTCAATCCTACACAAATTCTTTTAGTTTATTCTGCACATCCCCAACAGATTTATTATTGGAAGATTTGGTTGTTTTAGTAGATAAAAGTTCACGCAATTTCCTAAAAGACTGTAACATAGACACACAAGACATATTCTGTACAGATTATCTTATTTGTATATAAATGCATTTATCGATTTTGAATTGCATGTATGTTTTGTTTTGTTTACATTGAATTTGTTTATTTGTTTGTGGATGCAGAAAAGTTCACGCAACCTGACATAAATTTCCTTCTGATTCAACTCAATCCTACACAAATTCCTTAGTTTATTCTGCACATCCCCAACAGATTTATTATTGGAAGATTTGGTTGTTTTAGTAGATAAAAGTTCACGCAATTTCCTAAAAAGACTGTAACATAGATACAAGACATATTCTGTACAGATTATCTTATTTGTATATAAATGCATTTATCGATTTTGAATTGCATGTATGTTTTGTTTGTTTACATTGAATTTGTTTATTTGTTTTGGATGCAGAAAAGTTCACGCAACCTGACATAAATTTCCTTCTGATTCAACTCAATCCTACACAAATTCCTTAGTTTATTCTGCACATCCCCAACAGATTTATTATTGGAAGATTTGGTTGTTTTAGTAGATAAAAGTTCACGCAATTTCCTAAAAAGACTGTAACATAGATACACAAGACATATTCTGTACAGATTATCTTATTTGTATATAAATGCATTTATCGATTTTGAATTGCATGTATGTTTTGTCTTGTTTACATTGAATTTGTTTATTTCTTTGTGGATGCAGAAAAAGTTCACGCAACCTGACATAAATTTCCTTCTGATTCAACTCAATCCTACACAAATTCCTTAGTTTATTCTGCACATCCCCAACAGATTTATTATTGGAAGATTTGGTTGTTTTAGTAGATAAAAGTTTCGCAATTTCCTAAAAAGACTGTAACATTGATACACAAGACATATTCTGTACAGATTATCTTATTTGTATATAAATGCATTTATCGATTTTGAATTGCATGTATGTTTTGTCTTGTTTACATTGAATTTGTTTATTTGTTTGTGGATGCAGAAAAGTTCACGCAACCTGACATAAATTTCCTTCTGATTCAACTCAATCCTACACAAATTCCTTAGTTTATTCTGCACATCCCCAACAGATTTATTATTGGAAGATTTGGTTATTTTTAGTAGATAAAAGTTCACGCAATTTCCTAAAAAGACTGTAACATAGATACACAAGACATATTCTGTACAGATTATCTTATTTGTATATAAATGCATTTATCGATTTTGAATTGCATGTATGTTTTGTTTTGTTTACATTGAATTTGTTTATTTGTTTGTGGATGCAGAAAAGTTCACGCAACCTAACATAAATTTACTTCTGATTCAACTCAATCCTACACAAATTCCTTAGTTTATTCTGCACATCCCCAACAGATTTATTATTGGAAGATTTGGTTGTTTTTAGTAGATAAAAGTTCACGCAATTTCCTAAAAAAGACTGTAACATAGATACACAAGACATATTCTGTACAGATTATCTTATTTGTATATAAATGCATTTATCGATTTTGAATTGCATGTATTTTTTTTGTTTCTTGTTTACATTGAATTTGTTTATTTGTTTGTGGATGCAGAAAAATTCACAGCAACCTAACATAAATTTACTTCTGATTCAACTCAATCCTACACAAATTCCTTAGTTTATTCTGCACATCCCCAACAGATTTATTATTGGAAGATTTGGTTGTTTTAGTAGATAAAAGTTCACGCAATTTCCTAAAAAGACTGTAACATAGATACACAAGACATATTCTGTACAGATTATCTTATTTGTATATAAATGCATTTATCGATTTTGAATTGCATGTATGTTTTGTTTGTTTACATTGAATTTGTTTATTTGTTTGTGGATGCAGAAAAGTTCACGCAACCTGACATAAATTTCCTTCTGATTCAACTCAATCCTACACAAATTCCTTAGTTTCTTTCTGCACATCCCCAACAGATTTATTATTGGAAGATTTGGTTGTTTTAGTAGATAAAAGTTCACGCAATTTCCTAAAAAGACTGTAACATTGATACACAAGACATATTCTGTACAGATTATCTTATTTGTATATAAATGCATTTATCGATTTTGAATTGCATGTATGTTTTGTCTTGTTTACATTGAATTTGTTTATTTGTTTGTGGATGCAGAAAAGTTCACGCAACCTGACATAAATTTCCTTCTGATTCAACTCAATCCTACACAAATTTCTTTAGTTTATTCTGCACATCCCCAACAGATTTATTATTGGAAGATTTGGTTGTTTTAGTAGATAAAAAGTTCACGCAATTTCCTAAAAAGACTGTAACATAGATACACAAGACATATTCTGTACAGATTATCTTATTTGTATATAAATGCATTTATCGATTTTGAATTGCATGTATGTTTTTGTTTTGTTTACATTGAATTTGTTTATTTGTTTGTGGATGCAGAAAAGTTCACGCAACCTGACATAAATTTCCTTCTGATTCAACTCAATCCTACACAAATTCCTTAGTTTATTCTGCACATCCCCAACAGATTTATTATTGGAAGATTTGGTTGTTTTAGTAGATAAAAGTTCACGCAATTTCTAAAAAGACTGTAACATAGATACACAAGACATATTCTGTACTTATTATCTTATTTGTATATAAATGCATTTATCGATTTTGAATTGCATGTATGTTTTGTCTTGTTTACATTGAATTTGTTTATTTGTTTGTGGATGCAGAAAAGTTCACGCTTTTGACATAAATTTCCTTCTGATTCAACTCAATCTTACACAAATTCTTAGATTATTCTGCACATCCCCAACAGATTTATTATTGGAAGATTTGGTTGTTTTAGTAGATAAAAAGTTCACGCAATTTCCTAAAAAGACTGTAACATAGATACACAAGACATATTCTGTACAGATTATCTTATTTGTATATAAATGCATTTATCGATTTTTGAATTGCATGTATGTTTTGTTTTTTACATTGAATTTGTTTATTTGTTTGTGGATGCAGAAAGTTCACGCAACCTAACTTTAAATTTCTTTCTTTCTTTCTTGATTTCTTTCAATACAATTACAAATTATTTAGTTTTGTTTCTTTTGTTTCTTTATTTTTCCCAACTTAGATTTCTTTATTGGAAGATTTGGCATTTTGTTTTTTTGTTAGATAAAAGTTCACGCCTTTAAATTTCCTTAAAAAGACAATTCTTCCTAACATTTGTTTAGATTGTTTCAAGACATAGTTTCTGTACAGATTATCTTTCTTTTCTTATATTTCATTTATCGATTTTGAATTCATTATGTTTTGTTTCTTGTTTACATTGAATTTGTTTATTTGTTTGTTGGATGCAGAAAAGTTCACGCAACCTGACATAAATTTCCTTCTTTCAACTCAATCTTTCACAAATTTCTTAGTTTATTCTGCACATCCCCAACAGATTTATTATTGGAAGATTTGTTTGTTTTAGTAGATAAAAGTTCACGCAATTTCCTAAAAAAGACTGTAACATAGATACACAAGACATATTCTGTACAGATTATCTTATTTGTATATAAATGCATTTATCGATTTTGAATTGCATGTAGTTTTTTGTTTTGTTTACATTGAATTTGTTTATTTGTTTGTGGATGCAGAAAAGTTCACGCAACCTGACATAAATTTCCTTCTGATTCAACTCAATCCTACACAAATTCCTTAGTTTATTCTGCACATCCCCAACAGATTTATTATTGGAAGATTTGGTTGTTTTAGTAGATAAAAGTTCACGCAATTTCCTAAAAGACTGTAACATAGATACACAAGACATATTCTGTACAGATTATCTTATTTGTATATAATTCTGCATTTATCGATTTTGAATTGCATGTATGTTTTTTTTTGTTTACATTGAATTTGTTTATTTGTTTGTGGATGCAGAAAAGTTCTTTCAACCTAACATAAATTTCCTTCTGATTCAACTCAATCCTACACAAATTCTTCCTTTATTCTGCACATCCCCAACAGATTTATTATTGGAAGATTTGGTTGTTTTAGTAGATAAAAGTTCACGCAATTTCCTAAAAGACTGTAACATAGATACACAAGACATATTCTGTACAGATTATCTTATTTGTATATAAATGCATTTATCCTTTTTGAATTGCATGTATGTTTTGTCTTGTTTACATTGAATTTGTTTATTTGTTTGTGGATGCAGAAAAAAGTTCACGCAACCTGAATTAAATTTCCTTCTTTCTTTGATTCAACTAGCTTACAATTCTTCCTTTTAGCACTTTGTTTATTTGTTTATTTGTTTATTTGTTTCTTTATTCGATAAAAGTTCTTTCAACAGATTCCCTTTCTTTCTTTCTTTTATTTCTTTCTCTAAAATTTATCCTTTGGAAGATTTGGTTGTTTAGTAGATAAAAGTTCACGCAATTTCCTAAAATTTGTTTATTTGTTTGTAACATAGATACACAAGACATATTCTTCTTTACAGATTATCTTATTTGTATATAAATGCATTTATCGATTTTTTATTTTGCATGTATGTTTTTTGTTTGTTTACATTGAATTTGTTTATTTGTTTCTTGGATTTGTCTTGTTCAATTCACCAATTTAACAAAAATTTTTGTTTCTTTGATTCAGAACAGTTCTTTCTTTTAAGCCCTTCTTTCTTTCTTTCTTTCTTTTCTAATATATATAACACAATTTATTTGTTTTTTGTTTCCCCAACAATTTTTTATTGGATTAGATTTGGTTCTTTCTTTCTTTTCTTTCTTTCTTTTAGTAGATAAATTTCTTCACCAATTTCCTCGAAAAAGTTCTTTGTAACATAGATACACAAGACATATTCTGTACAGATTATCTTATTTGTATATAAATGCATTTATCGATTTTGAATTGCATGTATGTTTTGTTTTTTTTACATTTTATTTGTTTATTTGTTTGTTTGGATGCAGTTCTTTCTTTTAACCTGACATAAATTTCTTTGATTTCTTTCTTTTCCTACTACAAATTCCTTAGTTTATTCTTCCATCCCCAACAGATTTATTATTGGAAGATTTATTTTGTTTTAGTAGATAAAAGTTCGCAATTTCCTAAAAAGACTGTTCTTTAGATACACAAGACATATTCTGTACAGATTTTCTTATTTTTTATATAAATGCATTTATCGATTTTGAATTGCATGTATGTTTTGTTTTATTTACATTGAATTTGTTTATTTGTTTCTTTGGATGCAGAAAAGTTCACTTTCTTTTAACATAAATTTCCTTCTGATTCAACTCTTTCCTACACAAATTCCTTAGTTTATTTCTTCATTTTAACAGATTTGTTTATTGGTTTATTTGGTTTTTTTTTAGATATTTGTTCACGCAATTTTAAAAAAGTTGTTTCTTTAGATACCAAGACATATTCTTTTCTTTACAGATTTCTTATTTGTATATAAATGCAATTTATCGATTTTTGAATTGTTTATTTGTTTGTTTTGTTTTATTTGTTTCTTTATTTTACTTTAATTTCTTTTCTTTTTTCTTTGAAAATTTTCCACAAAAGACTTTGTTTATTTTTTTTTTTTCATTTAAATTTCAAAAGACTTTTGATTAACTCTTAGTTCTTTCTTTCTTTCTTTTTATTCTTTCTAAATAGATTTATTATTGGAAGATAATGTTTTTTTAGTTTATTTGTTTCTTTATTTGTTTCTAAAAAGACTTTAACATAGATCACAAGACATATTCTTACAGATTATCTTTCTTTATTTGTATATAAATGCTTTTAATTCGATTTTGAATTGCATGTATGTTTTGTTTTTGTTTACATTAATTTGTTTCTTTGTTTGTGGATGCAGAACCCTTCTTTCTTTCTTTCTTTTCTTTCAACTTTCTTTTCTATTTACAATTGTTCCTTGCACTTTTATTTATTTATTTTCCTTGTTTCTTTATTTGTTTATTCACTTTTCTTTCTTTCTTTTGGAAGATTTCTTTGTTTTGTAGACAAATTCAATTTGTTTAAAAGTTTATTTGTTTTATTTAAACAAGACATATTTACATTATTATCCATTTGTATATAAGTTCTTTTAATGATTTTGAATTTCATTTATTTTTGTCTTCTTTTTTTTGTTTATTTGTTTGTGGATGCAAAAGTTGTTTATTTGACATAAATTTCCTTCTGATTCAACTCAGTTCTTTAAACAAATTCCTTCTTTTATTCTTTCACATCCCTAACAGATTTATTCTTGGAAGAGCACTTTGTTTTATTAGTTTATTTGTTCACGCAATTTCTTTATTTGTTCGATAACATAGATTCAAAGACATATTCTTTCAGATTATCTTCTTTGTATATAAATGCATTTATCGATTTTGAATTGCAATTATGTTTTGTTTTGTTTACATTGAATTTGTTTATTTGTTTGTGGATGCAGAAAAGTTCTTTCTTTTAAGCCCTTCTTTTCTTTCTTGACTTTCTTTAAATTTCCTTCTGATTCAATTCTTCCTACACAGTTTTTTAGTTTATTATTTGTTTCCCCAAATTTACAGTATGTTTTTTTGTTGGAAGATTTTCTTTTTTAGTAGATAAAAGTTCTTTCAATTTCCTAAAATTGTAACATTGATACACAAGACATATTTTGTTTCTTTATTTTTTCTTTTTTCTTTCTTTATAAATGCATTTATCTTTTTTGAATTGCATGTATGTTTTTACAATTTTCTTTTTACATTTTGAATTTGTTTATTTGTTTTGGATTGAAGAATTTCTTTCTTTTATGCCTTTCTTTCTTTCTGACTTTAAATTTCCTTCTGATTCAACTCAATCCTACACAAATTCTTAGTTTATTCTGCACATCCCCAACAGATTTATTATTGGAAGATTTGGTTGTTTTAGTAGATAAAAGTTCACGCAATTTTTTAAAAAGACTGTAACATAGATACACAAGACATATTCTGTACAGATTATCTTATTTGTATATAAATGCATTTATCGATTTTGAATTCATGTTTTATTTGTTTTATTTATGTTTTGTTTCTTTATTTTTACAGTTCTTTCTTTTGTTTATTTGTTTTTGGATGCAGAAAAATTCACGCAACCTTTGTTTGACATAAATTTCCTTTTGATTCAACTCAATCCTTACAAATTCTTTTAGTTTTTCTTCTTTCTTTCTTTCTTTCTTTCTTTCTTTCTTTCCCCAACAGATTTTCCTTTTTGGAAGATTTGGTTGTTTTATTTGTAAAGTTCACGCAATTTCCTAAAAAGACTGTCTTTTTTTCTTTCTTTCATTCTTACAAGACATATTCTTTACAGATTTCTTATTTGTATTTAAATGCATTTATCGATTTTTTCTTTTGCATGTATGTTTTGTTTTGTTTACTTTGTTTATTTGTTTATTTGTTTGTGGATGCAGAAAAGTTCAACCTAACATAAATTTCCTTCTGATTCTTTCAATCTTACACAAATTCCTTAGTTTATTCTGCACATCCCCAACAGATTTATTATTTTATTTGTTTTGTTTATTTGTTTCTTTATTTTTCGATTAAAGTTTTTTAGTAGATTCTTTCTTTCTTTCTTTCTTTCACGCTATTTACAATTTTTTTAGCACTTTGTTTATTTATTTTTTGTTTATTTTTTTCTAATTTGTTTATTTGTTCTTTTCTTTAGATCTTTCAAGACATCAATTCTTTCTTTTCTTTGTTTACAGATTTGTTTCTTGTTTTCTTTCTTTTGTTTATAAAGATTTGCATTTATTTGTTTCGTTTATTTGTTTCTTTGTTTCTTTATTTGTTCGATTACAGTTCTTTCTTTTAAGCCCTTCTCTTTATGTTTTGTATGTTACAATTCTTGTTTACATTACAATTTGTTTATTTGTTTGTGGATGCAGAAATTTTTTATCAACCTGACATAAATTTTCCTTCTGATTCAACTCAATCTACACAAATTCTTAGTTTAGTTTTCTGCACATCCCCAACAGTTTTATTATTGGAAGTTTTGGTTTTTTTCTTTTCTTTCTTTCAATTTTGTTTTAGTAGATAAAGTTTATTTGTTTATTTGTTTATTTGTTTCTCAAGCAACAGTTTTTTCTTGTTTACTTTCTTTTTTTTTTCTTTCTTTCTTTCTTAACAATTCTTTTACACTTTATTGTTTCTTTGTTTTCTTTATTTTTCAGTTCTTTCTTTTGCTTCTCTATTTGTTTCTTTCTTTTTTTCGATTTTGTTTACATGTTTGTTTTATTTGTTTCTTTTTACATTTTTCTTTCTTTTCTTTATTTTCTTTTGTGGATGCAGTTTAAAAGTTTATTTGTTCATTACAGTTCTTTCTGACTTTCTTTCTTTCATTTCTTTTTCTTTCTAGCTTACAATTCAACTTTTCAACTTTGTTTTATTTGTTTAAATTCCTTTATTTTTATTCTCTTTCTTTCTTTCTTTTCTTTCTTCCCTTTCAACAGATTTGTTTATTTGTTTATTTGTTTCTTTGTTTCTTTATTTGTTGGTTCTTTCTTAAAAGCCTTCTTTTCTTTCTTTCTTTCTTCTTTCTTTCTTTAACTACAAGATTCATATTCTGTACTTTTGTTTTTTATTTGTTTATTTGTTTTTTTGTTTATATAAATTCATTTATCGATTTTAAGAATTTCATGTTTCTTTTTTCTTTCTTTCTTTTTACTAGCTTACAATTCTTCCTTTTTTGTTTTGTTTATTTGTTTATTTGGATTTCTTTAAAAGTTCACGCAACCTAACATAAATTTCCTTCTTTCAACTCAATCTACACAAATTCTTTCTTTCTTTCTGCACATCCCCAACAATTCTTTATTGGAAGATTTGGTTTTTTTAGTAGTTTAAAAGTTCGCAATTTCCTAAAATTACTGTAACATAGACACACAAGACATATTCTGTACAGATTTCTTATTTGTATATAAATGCTTTTTATCGATTTTGAACAATTGTATCCTTTTTTTGTTTTTGTTTACATTGAATTTGTTTATTTGTTTGTGGATGCAGTTCTTTCGCAACCTAACATAAATTTCCTTCTGATTCTTTCAATCCTACACAAAAATTCCTTACAATTCTTCCATTTTAACAGATTTATTTTGGAAGATTTGGTTGTTTTAGTAGATAAAGTTCACGCAATTTCCTAAAAGACTCTAACATAGATACACAAGACATATTCTTTACAGATTATCTTTTTTTATATTCTTTGCATTTATCGATTTACAATTGCATGTATGTTTTGTCTTGTTTACATTGAATTTGTTTATTTGTTTGTGGATGCAGTTCTTTCACGCAACCTGACTTAAATTTCCTTCTGATTCAACTCAATCCTACACAAATTCCTTAGTTTATTCTGCACATCCCCAACAGATTTATTATTGGAAGATTTGGTTTTTTAGTAGATAAAAGTTCACGCAATTTCCTAAAAGACTGTAACATAGATACACAAGACATATTCTTTCAGATTATCTTCTTTGTATATAAATGCATTTATCGATTTTGACTTTGCATGTATGTTTTGTCTTGTTTACATTGAATTTGTTTATTTGTTTGCAGAAAATTGGATGCTTTCCTTTTTCACCCTTCTTTTTTGACATTCTTTCTTTCTGATTCAATTCTCAATCCACTTTGTTTACAAATTCCTTAGTTTTTGTTTCTTTATTTGTTCAACAGATTTCTTTCTTTTGGAAGATTTGGTTGTTTTAGTAGATAAAGTTCACGCAATTTCCTTTTAAAAAGATTTTTCTGATTTTTTTCCTTTGTTTATTAGTTTATTCACAAGACATATTCTCTTTCAGCCCTTCTTTTTTCTTATTTCTTTCTTATATGCTAACTTGCATTTCTTCGATTTTGTGCATGTATGTTTTGTCTTGTTTTTGAATTTGTTTATTTGTTTATTGGATGCAGAAAAGTTCTTTCTTAACATAAATTTCCTTCTGATTCAACTCAATCCTTACACAAATTCCTTAGTTTATTCTGCTTCCCCAACAGATTTATTATTGGAAGATTTGTTTGTTTTAGTAGATAAAAGTTCACGCAAATTCCTAAAAAAAGACTTGTAACATAGATTCTTTCATATTCTGTTCTTTTTTCTTATTTGTATATAAATGCATTCTTCGATTTTGAATTGCATGTATGTTTTATTTTTTACATTGAATTTATTTATTTTTTTTGGATGCAGAAAAGTTCTTTCTTTTAAGCCCTTCTTTCTTTCTTTCTTTCTTTCTTTCTTTCTATGCTAGCTTACAATTCTTCCTTTTAGCACTTTGTTTATTTGTTTATTTGTTTATTTGTTTCTTTATTTGTTCGATTACAGTTCTTTCTTTTAAGCCCTTCTTTCTTTTTTTCTTTTATTTTCTTTAAATGCATTTTACAATTTTCCTTTTAGCACTTTGTTTGTTTGTTTTGCATTTTTGTTTATTTGTTTTATTTATTTGTTCGAAAGTTCTTTCGCAACCTATTAAATTTCCTTCTGATTCAACTCAATCCTACAACAAATTCCTTAGTTTATTCTTTCCCCAACAGATTTATTTGTTTATTTGTTTCTTTATTTTTAGTAGATTAAAAGTTCAATTTCCTAAAAAGACTGTAACATAGATACACAAGACATATTCTGTTCAGATTTCTTATTTGTATATAAATGCATTTATCGATTTTTTGAATTTTATGTTTTTTTTTTTTGTTTACATTGAATTTATTTTTTTATTTGTTTGGATTGGATGCAGAAAAGTTCACGCAACCTAACATAAAATTTCCTTCTTTTCAACTTTCTTTCTTTTGGATGCTTTGTTTAGTTTATTCTTCATCCCCAACAGATTTATTTGTTGGATTTTTCTTTGTTTTATTAGATAAGTTCACGCTTTTTCCTAAAAGACTTTCTTTCTTTTTACACAAGACATATTCTTACAGATTATCTTATTTGTATATAAATTCATTTATCGATTTTGTTTGCATGTATGTTTTGTTTGTTTACATTGAATTTGTTTATTTGTTTGTGGATGCAGAAAGTTCACGCAACCTGACATAAATTTCTTTCTTGATTTCTTTCAATCCTACACAAATTCTTAGTTTATTCTGCACATCCCCAACAGATTTATTTATTGGAAGATTTGGTTGTTTTAGTAGATAAAAGTTCACGCAATTTCTTAAAAAAGACTGTAACATAGATACACAAGACATATTCTCCTTACAGATTTGTTCTTATTTGTATATAAATGCATTTCTTTCGATTTTTTTCTTTCTTTCTTTTTGCAATTCTTGTTTTATTTTTTATTTGTTTATTTTTTCTTTTTGTTAAAATTTATTTTTTTTAAGCCCTTTGGATCTTTCTAAAGTTTCTTTTGCAACTTATTTTCTAAATTTCCTTTGTTTACATTGTTTATTTGTTTCTTTGTTTCTTTATTTGTTTCATTCAATCCAAAGTTCTTTCTTTTTTTCTTTCTTTCTTTTTTTTTCCCCAACAGATTTATTATTGGAAGATTTCTTTGTTTTTAGTAGACTTTAAAAGTTCACGCAATTTCCTAAAAAAGTTTCTTTAACATAGATACACAAGACATATTCTGTACAGATTATCTTATTTGTTTATAAATGCATTTATCGATTTTGAATTCTTCCTTTTTGTCTTTGTTTACATTGAATTTGTTTATTTGTTTCTGGATTTGAAAAGTTCACGCAACCTTTTTTCTTTCCTTCTGATTCTTTCAATCTTACACAAATTTTCTTTTATTCTGCACATCCCCAACAGATTTATTATTGGAAGATTTGGTTGTTTTAGTAGATAAAAGTTCACGCAATTTCCTAAAAAGACTGTAACATAGATACACAAGACATATTCTTACAGATTATCTTATTTGTATATAAATGCATTTATCGATTTTGAATTGCATGTTTGTTTTGTTTGTTTACATTGAATTTGTTTCTTTATTTGTGGATGCAGAAAAGTTCACGCAACCTGACATAAATTTCTTTCTGATTCAACTTCAATCCTACACAAATTTGTTTAGTTTATTCTGCACATCCCCAACAGATTTGTTTATTGGAAGATTTCTTTGTTTTTAGTAGATAAAAGTTTCAATTTCCTAAAAGTTTTCTGTAACATAGATAGATCAAGACATATTCTTTACAGATTATCTTTTTTTATATAAATGCATTTATCGATTTTGAATTGCATGTATGTTTTGTTTGTTTACATTGAATTTGTTTATTTGTTTGTGGATGCGAGAAAAGTTCTTTCTTTTGACATAAATTTCCTTCTGATTCAACTCAATCTTTCAAATTCCTTAGTTTATTCTGCACATCCCCAACAGATTTATTATTGGAAGATTTGGTTGTTTTTAGTAGATAAAAGTTCACGCAATTTCCTAAAAAAGACTGTAACATAGATACACAAGACATATTCTGTACAGATTATCTTATTTGTATATAAATGCATTTATCGATTTTGAATTGCATGTATGTTTTGTCTTGTTTACATTGAATTTGTTTATTTGTTTGTGGATGCAGAAAAGTTCACGCAACCTGACATAAATTTCCTTCTGATTCAACTCAATCCTACACAAATTCCTTAGTTTATTCTGCACAGTAAAAAAACAGATTTATTATTGGAAGATTTGGTTGTTTTAGTAGATAAAAGTTCGCAATTTCCTAAAAAGACTGTAACATAGATACACAAGACATATTCTGTACAGATTATCTTATTTTATATAAATGCATTTTATCGATTTTGAATTGCATGTATGTTTTGTTTTGTTTACATTGAATTTGTTTATTTGTTTATTGGATGCAGAAAAGTTATTTGTTAACATAAATTTCCTTCTTTGATTCAACTCAATCCTACACAAATTCCTTAGTTTATTCTGCACATCCCCAACAGATTTATTATTGGAAGATTTGGTTGTTTTAGTAGATAAAAGTTCACGCAATTTCCTAAAAAAGACTGTAACATAGATACACAAGACATATTCTGTACTTATTATCTTATTTGTATATAAATGCATTTATCGATTTTGAATTGCATGTATGTTTTTGTATTTGTTTACATTGAATTTGTTTATTTGTTTGTGGATGCAGAGTTCTTTCACGCAACCTGACATAAATTTCCTTCTGATTCAACTCAATCCTACACAAATTCCTTTAGTTTATTCTGCACATCCCCAACAGATTTATTATTGGAAGATTTGGTTGTTTTAGTAGATAAAAGTTCACGCAATTTCCTAAAAAGACTGTAACATAGATACACAAGACATATTCTGTACAGATTATCTTATTTGTATATAAATGCATTTATCTTTTTTGAATTGCATGTATGTTTTGTCTTGTTTACATTGAATTTGTTTATTTGTTTGTGGATGCAGAAAAGTTCACGCAACCTGACATAAATTTCCTTCTGATTCAAACAAATTCAATTCTACACAACAGATTTATTTTGGAAATTTGTTTGTTTTTAGTTTATTTCTGATTTGTAACATAGATACACAAACAGATTTATTATTGATTTTGAAGATTTGGTTTTGTTTTGTTTTAGTAGATCACGCAAAAAAGTTCACGCAATTTCCTAAAAAGACTGTTCTTTGATATGTTTATTTAAAGATTTCAAAACATATAGTTTAATCCCCACAAGACATATTCTTACAGATTATCTTATTTGTATATAAATGCATTTATCGATTTTGAATTGCATGTATGTTTTGTCTTGTTTACATTGAATTTGTTTATTTGTTTGTGGATGCAGAAAAGTTCACGCAACCTGACATAAATTTCCTTCTGATTCAACTCAATCCTACACAAATTCCTTAGTTTATTCTGCACATCCCCAACAGATTTATTATTGGAAGATTTGGTTGTTTTAGTAGATAAAAGTTTCAATTTCCTAAAAGACTGTAACATAGATACACAAGACATATTCTGTACAGATTATCTTATTTGTATATAAATGCATTTATCGATTTTGAATTGCATGTATGTTTTGTCTTGTTTACATTGAATTTGTTTATTTGTTTGTGGATGCAGAAAAGTTCACGCAACCTGACATAAATTTCCTTCTGATTCAACTCAATCCTACACAAATTTTTTTAGTTTATTCTGCACATCCCCAACAGATTTATTATTGGAAGATTTGGTTGTTTTAGTAGATAAAAGTTCACGCAATTTCCTAAAAAGACTGTAACATAGATACACAAGACATATTCTGTACAGATTATCTTATTTGTATATAAATGCATTTATCGATTTTGAATTGCATGTATGTTTTGTCTTGTTTACATTGAATTTGTTTATTTGTTTGTGGATGCAGAAAAGTTCACGCAACCTGACATAAATTTCCTTCTGATTCAACTCAATCCTACACAAATTCGACTTTAGTTTATTCTGCACATCCCCAACAGATTTATTATTGGAAGATTTGGTTGTTTTAGTAGATAAAGTTCACGCAATTTCCTCAAAAAAGACTGTAACATAGATACACAAGACATATTCTGTACAGATTATCTTATTTGTATATAAATGCATTTATCGATTTTGAATTGCATGTATGTTTTTGTCTTGTTTACATTGAATTTGTTTATTTGTTTGTGGATGCAGAAAAGTTCACGCAACCTCAACATAAATTTCCTTCTGATTCAACTCAATCCTACACAAATTGTTTTTAGTTTATTCTGCACATCCCCAACAGATTTATTATTGGAAGATTTGTTTTTTGTTTAGTAGATAAAAGTTCACGCAATTTCCTCAAAAAAGACTGTAACATAGATACACAAGACATATTCTGTACAGATTATCTTATTTGTATATAAATGCATTTATCGATTTTGAATTGCATGTATGTTTTGTCTTGTTTACATTAATTTGTTTATTTGTTTGTGGATGCAGAAAAAGTTCACGCAACCTAACATAAATTTCCTTCTGATTCAACTCAATCCTACACAAATTCTTAGTTTATTCTGCACATCCCCAACAGATTTATTATTGGAAGATTTGGTTGTTTTTTAGTAGATAAAAGTTCACGCAATTTCCTAAAAAAGACTGTAACATAGATACACAAGACATATTCTGTACAGATTATCTTATTTGTATATAAATGCATTTATCGATTTTGAATTGCATGTATGTTTTGTCTTGTTTACATTGAATTTGTTTATTTGTTTGTGGATGCAGAAAAGTTCACGCAACCTGACATAAATTTCCTTCTGATTCAACTCAATCCTACACAAATTCCTTAGTTTATTCTGCACATCCCCAACAGATTTATTATTGGAAGATTTGGTTGTTTTAGTAGATAAAAGTTCACGCAATTTCCTAAAAAGACTGTAACATAGATACACAAGACATATTCTGTACAGATTATCTTATTTGTATATAAATGCATT